TTTGCCGCTGGTCGCGCGCTCACGCTCGTAGCGTGCGCGCCGGCGCCCCGCAATTTGCGCTATACGAGTTATAAAGGCCGAAAGCCTAGACTTTTGCATAATGTATCCACGTATTTAGGCCCACGTTCCGTTTACGTATATCAATTACGTAAGCGTACGGTTGTAACTGTGTTCGTAACCGTGAGAACTGACCGATCGTCGAGTTCGAGGAGGACACTCGACTATATGATCGGCCAATTCTCACGACTGCTTACTATTACGCTTATTGTGCGTAATTGAACGGGCTTGATCATTCAGAGCCCTTTATCTCGTGGAAAGAAAAGAAATAGAGGGATTTCTTGATTATGGTTCATTTTATTATTGTGCGCAGAGGACTTCGTGCTCCTGCAAAGAAAAATGTACTATTAAAACTTATATGAAGAAATCAACATTTATACTATTATGACCTTACGATCTACTGATATTGATGAATTCACTCATTGTTTACTGTTTCAGTTTTTTGTGTGCCATATGATTCTCAATGCCTGTTTCTACTTCTAATGTTAATACAATTTTAATTTCAGTGTAACTTGTTTTTTATTTTTATCAAATTTTTAGAAGAAGACAAAGAATTCTTTAAACCGCGATTAAAATCGGACATAACAAAAGCATTCTTCAAATTAATTATCGTGAAATTGCCTTGGAAGGCCGATAAATTTCTCGATTGATTTACGTCTGGAATAGATTCTGTAGAAAAAGCTATTTACCTGTTACGTATCATACTAAAAAAATAGTCTAGTAGTAGCTTATACTAAATAATGAATGAAACAGTTCCAATCAAATAGCGACTAATATAAACTACAAAAATAAGTTTACTTTTCTAAATATTTAGCAATTATTACTAGACGACTGGTTATATCGTTAATATATCTGGTAACACTAAACATTTCGAAAAGTAGACTTATGTACTTCTCTAAAATCATTTCTTCCGCATTTCAAACAAAAGTCTTAAAAATCGTCAGTAGCTTAAAATTAAAAAGAATAGTCTACAATTTACATCAATATTCAAGATCTAGATAAACTTTAGTTTCCTGATAACTTTATGTGTGTCACGTAAAACGTAAAATACAATCAGTCATAAACGGATGAAATATTACTAAAAATGCGTGCGCGTAGTGTCCAAATTACAAGGCCGTAAACGGGACACCGCGCGCCGCTCTGAAATCTGATATACGAATAAGGATAGCGTCTAAAGTACGTTTCACTTCGCGTAATTTCAGACACTTGGCTATCAAAGATCCGTTGTTCGTTATCGGGTGGAAGGTGCGCGCGTACATATACGCACCTGCGCGTGTTCCCTCGCGTAAACAGTAAAGTAGGCTGTGTGTACGCGTGTGCGCGAGAGCGTGAGGTGAGCGGGTGTAACCGGTTCCACCGATTTTTTTCACGAAAAGCACGTCCGCGACGCTTTATAAAATATCCCTTTGTCGTCGTCGTGTCGTCGTCGTTGGACGTCACGTGTACGGCGTGTGGTGTACATCGGGACGCTCAAATGTCCCGAACAAGCGCGACGTTTCGACGCTCGTTCGAAGATCCCGAATGCTCGTATTCGCGTTATTTCAGAGTGATAAACGGCGCTCGCGGTGATCTCCCCAGAAGACCGCGGCGTTTCCGTTTTAGCTTCTGGGCGACAAAGAACGAATTGCCTCGTAAATGTTTCACCTGCGCGAAGTTTATTTTCTAACTGAACGGGAAAAAAAAGTTTTTGTTTAAGAAAAATTGGTTTCATGATTATAAATGTTTTGTATATGAAATTGTTACAGTTCGGCTTTTCAGTGCCGCGTTATATGTATAAATACACGTATGTGTAACATTTTGTTGACACTGCGACTAGCATTTATACAGAATTTTCAATTGGAAATTTTATTTAAATAATTAATTCGAAATAATAAAATAATAATTATGAATAATGATAAATTCTAGCAATGTTATTATTAATTGAAAAAATTAATTTAGTGATAATTATTCGTTAACTGTATTATCGCGCATTTTTCTTTTCAGAAATAATGTAATAAATATGCATTATATGCGAAAAAAAAGATGACGCGATATTCGTAGTCGATAATAATTATTTTATTATTTTGTATATAAACCTTTTGAAATAACTTTTGAATTACTTGTATTGTAGTTTAATTTCACAATTGAATAAAATAATAAATAATAAAATCAATTATGGAGCGTCGTTTACATAATAATTTTTCATAATTATTATGTAAAATAAAAATGTTAAGAAAACATGACAAAATTATTATGCATTTTAACAAAAAATGTATCAGAATTATAAATTCAAAGAAGTAATTATTTATTAATATAATGAACGAACGATGCACTATAGCGACGTTATTATAATATAAAAATTTGTTAAAAGTTAAATAAACTTTCAATAAAATATACGGTTATTTAATGCAGTTATATAAATCAATTATAAATTAAATGATCATTCTTGTTGCTGTATAATTACACATAACGATTTCTACTACAAACTTTCTTGTCGAATATCGGTTACTGTAGTGCCAACCAACTGTTCTCGGTTTGACTTTTTTGTTTTCAGTTTGATAAAAGACTTGCACGCTCCATAGAACCCCAAACCAATAACAGAGATTTGACGAATAATCGATAAAAAATTCAGTCATCACGAATGCCACGTACAAGAAGCTATATTTTCTTGACTTTTTTTAAATAACTGCACTGGAAATTTTTATTAATTTTTTTATAGATATACTAGTTTCATAGTTTTAAAATCGTGATAAAAAAAAAATAAAAGCTGTAATATATAGTGTGGTGCAATGTATTTAATAAAATTGATGGTTTTCTAATAATATTTTCAATATGGTATTGTTAACTAATAATTTATAAATATCTACAGTAGAAAGTAATTTTCTCCATTCGAACGTTTTAATTTAAAGAAAACAAAAAAATTGGAATAAAATAATTTAAATACTTTAATGTATCATGTTTTTTAATAATTTAGACGAAGAAGATAAAATAATTATATGTATTTTATACCAAAAGTATGAATAAATAATAAGTAATTTTTCTGACTTTTATTTACATATTTTTTGTATAGAACTAAAGTACAATATAATTTTACTCAAATAAGTATAAGTTTATAATTCTATATAGGCTCGTTCCCATTTTTGTCGGCACATAGTCAGGCGTTGTTGGACAAAGCAGTCATAAATACAAATGTATGTGCGCAGACATAACGTCCGCAATACCGGCACGCTCTCCTTTGATCCCGCATTTAATAAATTGAGTCGTTAAAGTTTCGAGCAGGATGCAGAACAGAAATAAGCCATAGTGATGCTCGCAACCGGACACGGTAAAGCAACCTTTGAAACGACGCTCATGCTTATATTCCTCACGTTTCTCTCACGTTAATTTTTAGATCGTTATCGATAAGTCCAAAACCAAAATTGCAAAAAGTAAGCGCTGTTGTATATTATAAAACTCTTTATTCCAAAAAATTCTATTTGGGACTGTAATCAATAAAACTCGTAAACAATCACAATAATTTTACAAACAACTTATAATTTATATCGGAAAATATTTTATTCTGCTGATTCACTTTTGCTAATTAACGCTAATATGCTTTGTTGCAATTTTTTTAACTTAATAAAATTAACACGATTTGTCTCTTAACCAATAGCTGATAATGTAGTAAATTGTCAGAAAAAAATAAAATAAGTGAAAGAATATATTTTTATTATTAGTATATAAAAATTAATAAAACCGCTCTAGGAATAATCTGCAACCATTCCATCGCTGCGATAAAGATGTAGAATTGAAAACCGTTTTTCTTCTGTAATTTGAATAATTTCCCGTACACTAACGCCATCCCAGTATTACAGACTAAGACACAACGAGCAAATTTTAGATGATAACAAAGAAAATATATTTTCTATTTGAAAATTTTATCATAGCAGCAACCCCAGCTCTATTTCTTTAAAAACCATTATAGATTTTTGTATTGTATTAACAATAAAAAATATTTACACTTATAAAAAGAGATATATAAATTAATATGTCAAGCGTTGGAAAAAGAGAATGTAATGTTTATAAATACAATTAACACGAATAAATCTGTGATTTTAGATAAACTTTAAAAATACCATTGCAACTAATTCTAAATCTACTTGTGCACGGTCATTATTATTATTATTATTACCGACAATCGGCCAATAAGGCAACTTGATAAATAATCATGAATTCTACTTATTATCAGAATTACTAATTTTTAACAATATTCCATGAATGACTGCATGAAAAAAATTTTTTTTTACTTTAGTGTAAAAATATATAAACGAGCCTTAGCTTGCGCTATCCAACACATTTTGAATTACAACATTCACTCGGAACAGATAGCTATGTGTACTGCCATCTGAAGATGTAGACATAAAGTACGCGTTTGAATAGTACATACTGTGATAAAGAAAGCGTGTGCACTGTATCAAAAATGAAACGAGAAATTTATAATATAGCTTCAATTTTAATGTGTTACTAATTATATGTAGTCGTAGAATTAAAGAAAGTGTCAATTTTTATGTAATTGTAACATATAGACATGTAAAAGAGCCTTATATTTTATCATTATTAATTTATTAAAACATATTAATGTATTAATATTTATTACATTAAAATAATATGTGTGTGTGGAAACATATATATTATCTTAGAATATCACGAAATTTAATGTAATAAAGTTTTACATTATAGAAATTTAATTAAATTTAATGACTTAATGTATCTGTAACCGAAAAGTATATTTGTCTACATACACATAGAATTTAATGCATGTAAATATTAAATCTAAGTTACTCGTAACTTCATTTTCACTTTACAACATTAAATATTTTCAATGTGCTTGCTTGAAATTTGCTTCCATTATATTACATAAAATTTATTGCCTTTATTAAAACAATGTAGGTATAAATTATTATTTGCAAATCGAGTGACGCACATTACTTTATATTCAAACGCAGGTTCTGTGCGGCAGCAATCATTTGGCATCTTTGCAATTCCATCTTCTGTTCCTTTAATTTGAGAAGCTGCTTCTTCAGTTCCAATTTTTTACGTCTCACGGCCATTTTCTCTTTGTGCCGCCTCTCTTTGTTCTTTTCGGCCAATGCGAAATTCTTTTCTATTTCCTGTACAAATTTTTCGAATAACGTCGTCAAGATTTCCTTGCGTTCCAACGTTTCACTGTCTTTCTCGTTGGTCATGGGGGCTAAAGGATCTTCTCGTTGCCGATCGTCAGGCGAGCTTCGATCGCAACCTGGTTTTGGTTGAATCGAGAGATTAGTTGATCCGCTTGGCGGTTGCGACTCGTTCGTCTCCAGATACACATGCCTCTTCTTCTCGTTGAAGATCTCGTCCAAGGCGCGTTTGTGCTCCCACTGTCCATAGTGTCGCATCCTGCCTGGTTTCTTCAGTCGTTCACGGTACACGAGGTTTTTATACTTGCGCTCGAGAACTCGCCATTTATTCTCGCATTTCTGCGGACTAAAGTAGAATCCGTAATTCTGCATCTCCAGTGATATCATCTCGAACATCTCTCGCAGATTCCTGATCTGCGTCGATTGCCCGACCAATGATCGATACTTCTTATACTGGCTGATTAGGCAGGTAGTAGCTTTGCTGGTCCACTGGTTCAACGCGCCCACATCGACACTCGACGGTATCGTGCTGGCATTCTCCAAATTTGAGAAGCTGTTCTCGTGTTCTTCCTCGACGTAACACCGAAGAGTCGGTTCCACTTTGACTTCCATATGACTGTCGATTTTGTTCTCTATCAAAAATATATAACATTAAACAAAGTATCTTTTAATACTGTAATGTGTGAATACAAAATAAATAGGACATAAAGACTAAAAATTAATTTGTGATCTTTAATTAATAATGTCTAAAACAATTCGGTATGAATTTATACATTAATTATCCAAGCCTGCAATAACTCTCGCCGATTTAATATTCAGATTTGAAAAACAATCCTAACAGAACTAGAATAGTAATATTACAAATTAAATTAACAAGCAATTTAATAATATTGGCAAAAATGAATAATTTAAAAAATTATATATACAATATAATAATTAGGTCATTTTCAGTATAACAACAAAATGATAACAAATTTAAATGTTAAGCATTACATTAAATTTCTGTAATATAATACGAACGTTCGGAATATAAACTTTTTAAGACTTACGTAATTTTTTCTTACTGCAGTTATTTGTTTGATTTTAAAAATCTTTTGAATTTTTCTGAAACTATATGAGAACATATAAAATAGTAAAGAATTGCGATGTTGCGGAAATAATCAAGATAAGATAATACGTTTCACAATATTGATAATCAAATAATTAGTAAAATATAAGAATAAGAATGATTAAAATGCGTATTAAATTTAGCGGGATTATTAGATTGTTTCAATGCGATTGTGTTGCAAGTCCAAAAAGTAATCAGCGTAAAGTCACATATCTGAAATAAAATTTATTTAAATATACATAAATATATCATTCCAACATTTCTCTGATCGTAGGTAGTGCTTTTCTTGATAATTCATTTTAAAAAAAAAGATTATTTGCAAACGATTAATTTGAAATTCAAGCGGTTAAACATATGATATTTTAATTATTTTATTATGTTATAATATTTGATAGCATCTTTATTCCTTTTGTGTACCAAAAAATCTTTGCGCATACAACTAAAGCATGTTTCATACGATCTAAATTCCCCGCGACAATTAAATGATGCAATTTATTGCCTGTGACATTTTTGAAAGAGCAAATCGCCGATGGTGATTACAAGCACACGCAAATTTTTTGACAGATTCGAACAAACCTGTACCAGAGCGATTTTCTTACCTTTCAACTGTTCATTATTAGCTACGATGTCGTCCATGTGTAAATCAGCGTCGACGACGTTGCGATCGCACCAAGTAATCCTGTTGGAGTGTTATTCGTTGACGTCGACTACGCGAAGTTCTCGTGGGGGGCCGAAAAACCGAAGGAAACTAGTTCCAAACCGGTTTCGAGCTGGAACTGGTTCCGTACGCGTTGCGAACTATCCACGATCATGTTCGCCCTCTTGTCAGATTCCACATGAATGCGCAACTTCGCCGGTTCGCACAAAGATGTCGTTCATTGTCTCGCACGAGTTTCGAACGCATTCCGAACCAGAATCGGATGCGACGCGACGCACGCACTCCGTCTGCAAAGTCCGATGGACAAAACAAGGGAACGCAGCGGATCGACATGTCGTGCGGAAGAATGCGTATCGGTTTACGCAAACCGCACGTCGAAACCGTTTCACTCCAAATGGAAACTTGTCGCCAGGTTAACTAGTTTTTGAGCCGAACCTCTTCAGCTGGAGCACTTTCTAATAGGAATCAGACGTCTCGTGAAAAGACGCGACTCGACAAACGTACAGTTCTTTTAATGTTTGAATTGTACTTATTTAACGGACCGGCTGTGCTATTGATAAATATATGATTAGGCTTTTATTTTTAAACGTCGGATTGGACTCTGAACTTTAGATATCGTATACTTGTTAAAATCTAGATTGGACTTCCTGAGTAAATGTAGGAAGAAAGTTAACGCGGATATGCAAGATTGTTACCGAATTAGAAACAACTTTTAATTTTTGTTAACTAATAAATTTTCCATACAATTTATCTTATAACTTACATAGTTAATTCTGTTCCCTTTCCTTTACATAAATAAAAATTAGATATTATCTTCATTTCAATTCAATATATATAGTATATACCTATCATATACTGAAAAAGTCTACTAATTTGTAATACATTATTTTTTTAATAGTACTAGATACATATTTTTTACGGTAAATAAATACTTAATAAAAAATTGATTTTAAAAATTAATTTTTATGTCAAACAAATGTACGTAATACAAGTAAATATTTTCTTAGAATTATTTAAATAAATTATTTAAATATTTAGTAAAATTTAGTATTTTTTCAGTGTATATTACGTTAATTATTGCAAAGACAAATTCTACGAAAAAATTAATATTATTGTTAATATAAACATAATTAGAAACCTTTCACCTTCTCGCATTCTCAACGCTAATTTATATTTCAAACTTTATTACAAATTTTCTTTGTTATATATTTTCTTATTATATAATATCTTCGTAACACACTCATGCCTGATGACGCAAACAGATGAGAATCATTACTTACGCTAATTGTAAGTAGAGACACAATGAATGGAAATTCCTCTACATACTATAGTTAATTAAACGAGAATGTCATATTTTTCGCCTCATTGCAAAATCACTCCGTGTATCGATACTTTCGTTCTGGCTGAACCAGACTGCCCGCGCGGAATGCGCCGCTAATAAGTTCTTTATGGTCGCAAAACGATTTTACCACAACACGTTCGGGAAACACATAGTTGCGGTATAAGCGATTTACGAAGACGTACATACGGATGCGTAGGAACGCACGTACCGTTCGCGGTTTATGACAACTTTTATGTCATGTCGTGGAACGGAGCTAGCGGGATTCCGATGCACCGATGCAGTCGTCGGAGAGTAGCGAAGATAAACATCGAGCATGCATCTGCCATTCGATATAACTCTATCGAATAATTTCTACTGGATGTTTTTCCAATTTTGATGTGCATTATACATACGTATGTAACATCGATCGGTCTGGTTTGCTCTAGACGATTTATGACTCACGTTAGATTTCTCGACTGATTTCATAAGTTAATATATGCCGTGTATCTCGATGTGGAGTATGTTGTATTTTTCATATATACTTTTTATCATTTCTATATACAGGCCACCGTTACTTCTATTCGACGTATTTGATTAAAAAACAGTGCAGTTAGACAATTTGTCGAAACTCGAAAAAATATATTAAATTCAACTCAAATTATACATGAAAATTAAAAATAACAAAATGTTATTTGACTCAAGGGGTTGAGTTAAATATGAGTATTCTAATATGTGAGAAATATTTTTCACGTAATATCATAAACAGAATTCCATCCCTTGAATTTTCCAACGCGAATTATAAATCATTTAAAGTGAACAAACTATAACGTCTGGTGAAATTTTCTAAATGACACGCAACGCTTGCCATAATCACGTCCGCTCAACGCCTCTGGCGCGACGTGATTTAGTACGCGTAATCGTATTCTTATTCGTGTAATTGTGGCGCCCGTTACGTTCTCCTACGCAATCGTATAACGAGACTGAGAATAAGGATCATGCGAAAGCCTTTCGACAGTGTAACGCGGACGGTCGCATCACGCAAGGGGGATAATCGTGAGGCCGATGTAACGACCGGCCGTAGATAATCACGTTGCCATCAAGACGAACCTTTCACCGTTCTTACCGATAATTATGCGCTCCTTCAACATCCCTCGGACATTGCCGAACTGAATACGGAAGGCAGCGACGTGACGTTAACTTCGACAGTAAAGCCACTTTATAGCTACCGAGAGGCACGAAGCGTAACGTCATATTGTAATCCACAAAAGCCGAAAGTGCTTATTTAATAGTAACTAATATGGCTTTATATGAAAGTTACGTAGTTAAGTAATGGAAGTCCTATCACTGCAGATATATCTGATAATAATAACAGGACGCAATCACCAAGGATGATCTTTCTAAAATTTTCTAAAGAAGGGGGATAGACTTTAAAATAGAAGATTTTATTTTATATGAAAATTAAATTTGAAATTTTTGTAATATACTTCCTATGTTATGTTTTATTCTACGTAAAAGAAACGTACGTGACAAAGATTTGCGTAAAGATCGGAATTTTTTTTAAAGTTGATATAAAATACTTTCAATCAATAATTATACAGTGATTAAGAATAATGCGATAATATTATATATAATGAAGTGTAATATAGCAGGTTTGGCAGGTTTAGCGTTCAAGTCGACGACATTATCGTTGTTACGCGACTATATGGAAAGGCATCGATCCCGATACACAGAGTCTACACGCTGATTTACTTTCCCTTCGGGATATCGAATACCTTTCGAGCTTCAAACATTCGAACGTCGAACGTTCCACGATATAATTTTAAATTCCCGTTCGCGTCACGCACGTCAGAATGAACGCAGAAATCAAGGACAGAAATTGTATGGGAAAGGTTTACTGGCGTTTACTTGTCCAATATTAAATTAATTAAAATTTTATAACACACATACTTGATCTGCTTGATCTGCATACGAGAGAAAGATAATGGCTACTTTCCATTAAATGACACAAGTCGGGACAAACATCGTTCTATCTTTCTTGTATTAACTTATGTCACCAAATGGAAAGTACACCCAATAAGTTGTACAAATTTATATACACGTAAGTGTTTTGAAGTAAACATGAAATTACACACATAAACTGAAAAAGATTAGAACTAAATCTTAATATATATTTCTGTAATATAATACTAAATTTAAATATATACATTTATGTGTACTACAAGAACCATTAATTTCATTTTATCATTAAGTAAATATTTCTTTACTGTATAGGTAAAGATTTACTTATATGTTAGAATTATTCAAATATTTATTAAAATGTAATATATTTTTTTTAGTGTATCGGGGCATATTTGGGGCGCGAGTTTTAAAATAATCGCGCGTTGCGATTATTGGTTATTTGCTATAATATTATACATATTTATATAATATTAGCTTATATAAGGTATCAATGATCCCAAATGTAGTAGAATCTATATATACCATTTGCATGTCTATGAAATTTATCGAGAAGAACAATATATCGCGATCTGTATCTCGCATGTGTTTCCGCGGAGTGTAATACAGGGTGGACGTTCCAGCATGTGCATTACTGCGGATAGACTTTGTCGTGATTGCGAGTGCCGGAGAGCGCAGGAAGCGGACCATTTCGCGAGTCGTCTAGAACAGAGCGCATGTAAATTACGGAAGGGTCGACATAATAACACCCACGCGGGAGTGTAACGTCTAGTTCGCGACAAACGCAGAGGGCAAATCAGGGAAAGCAGATAATACACGCGTATATTTATTCCGCTGTAATGAGACAACTTTGAGAGATAAGAGATAAGACACGCTGTGATTCGAGAGGTTTTCATATAACGAGCCAGTCGACACTTAAATGTTAAGAGTTATGCACTTTACATAAATAACTATACGCTCTGAAAAAGTATGGGTGCGGTGTTTATTTAATTTTTATTGCGTTAGTGTGTTTATACTGACATTGTTTATTAACACTGATATTGTAAGAATTAGATATGTACTACACGTATTTTTTAACAAAATGAAAAAAATTATGAAAAAAAAAATACAGATTTTTCTACGTTACATTTGAAAGCACAATAATACATAAAGTTTGATAGTAAAAACTTAGAATCTGAATAAAAAATTATTTCAATAAGAAGTAAACAGATTTTCAGAAACAAAGATAAAATGATAAAAATTCCATTTAAAGTTTAAATTATAAAATTGCGTTGTTAAATGTAAATATTGATCTTGTTATGTATACTATGACATTTAGTTTTATACGGAATGTATGAATTTCTAACTCGTTATTCCTAAAGTTATTTTGTGCAGAGACTGTACACCGAATCCTTAACACCCACAGTGTTAAATTCATACTAATACTTTTTAGAGTACAGGTTCAAACTACAAAGAGACTCGCTCGTTAGAAGACTGTTCCGCATTTCGCGGATTTCCAGGACGTCGCACATAAGTCACAAAAGTGTTTTAATACAGAAATTTGCACGTATGGTATATTTTATATCCAAATATATAATTGTTACAATGTGTTTCTTCCCACTTGTTTTTAATTTGCGTATTTGTGTAATTGTTATACAAATTATTTTTCAATTCAATGTGTATAATTCACTTATGTCTAGTATACCAGGTACGGCTTCAAATCAGCTGCCTAGCTGTCGCCCAGTCTATTGTAGTGTAACTGATACGTTATCTCAAACAATATTGTAATATATCGAATGTATTTTGTTAACAGTACACTCAATAAAGTTAATAATAATAATAATAATAATAATAATATTCGCGCATGGTGACTCTTAATCACTAACAATTTAATAACAATTAATAAAGTCATATAATGACGCGCTAATTTAAACGTCAATCGATAATTGAGAGATTATGTAACGTGACGAGGATAGTACTCCCGTTTAATAAAATAAGATAAATCGTATCTCTAACGGTTTTATCAATCGATCATTCGCTAATACCTCGACCGCCTCTCATTCAATGAAAACGTGGTATGTTTGCGGATTATCGAGATCCGTTTCGCGTAACACCCACGATGTGGTGTAACGGATCAACCCTTAAAACCACGTCGTGTCCCCTAGCCGCGCCGGTGCAACCCTAAGCTTCGATTTTTTGCGTTCGCGCGTCATGTGCTCGATACAAGCGTCTTCGTCGCTTATCGGAGTGACATTACGGAGCGGAGTCGAACGCGGCGGGAGAGCGTCAACGAGGAAGCAAACAAGCGGGCGCGCGAGAGAGAGAGAGAGATAGAGAGAAAGTGAGGAAAGAGGGAAAAGGCAGTATATATACGTGCAAGAAAGGAGGGGTGATTTGGCGCGAGCGTTCCTACACCCAACACAAACGCAGAGAAGTGAAAGAGAGAGAGAGAGAGAGAGACTCGCGGGGCAGCAGGGAAGGGGGGCGGGAGGGGGACAGAGCAGATGGGAGCGCGAGACAGGCGCGTTTCGCCTTTCGACTCGGCCGAGGGCTTTTCGGTATACATACACGCGTATACACACGCACACGCGCGCGCGCGCGCGCTAGCGCACGCGAGAACGGCAGGCTTCCACAGCCGCAGAATACTTTCGATTTCGTCGAGTGGGCCGGCTCTCGCGGTGCCGCCGTGGCCCACCGCACTCCAGGAGGCGGACATCGGCTGCGCGATGCCAGTCATCGCGCGTTAGAGCGACGGCGCGCGTATTTTATCGCGTTCTCGTGACACTTGGCGAGCGCGCGCGGCTTCGACTACGCGTCTCCCGTGTCGCAGTGCCGTGCGCGTGTGCGACGCGGATCGTGCCCGATTTGCCCTCTCTGCGGCACAGGTGCGGTTTTTCCTTCCATCCACCCGTGTCTCCCTGTCAATCGCTCGCGGCAACGCGCGGCGCGGAGCAGGTGGACTCGCGCGCGCGTTAAAAGTATACGCCTTCGCGAAAAGTAGAAGAGTGCCGCTCTTTCGGTGACCGCGGGAGAGAGAGAGAGAGAGAGAGAGAGAAAGAGAAAAGGCGATCGATTTTCGCGTAGAGTGCTCGTCAACGGAATATCCCCGTTTCTCCACCACGGGGCGCGATCGAAATTGAAACACCCTGGATCGGTACAGTATACGAGAATCGACGTAAAGCGCATGTAAACATCCGCTCGAGCAACGCGACGACGACGGAGCAACGAACGTTATACCTCTACTTTCGTCTCCTCCACTCTTTTCCTCGCAGCGCGAGAGTGTCGCGCGCGTGCTCGATGACCGTATGTCGCGGCGGTCATCGATTTTCCCGGCGATCGTGTGTGTACGGCCGGTACGACTCGTCGCCGGTAAGAATCGCCAAGTATACGACAGTATGAAGAGGTGGAGCGATCGCGCGCTCGACAAAACCGCGTAGGAACGACGTACGGTGCGTACGCGCGCACGTCGCGGTGTGTGTGTGCCACCAGAACGAGAGAGAGAGAGAGAGAGAGAAAGCGCGCGGCGGTGGAGAAAGAGGGATCGCGAGACAGCGAGAGAGAGAGAGAGAGAGAGTTGAGTGACGGCGCGCGTTCAACATGGCTACCGCCGGCAGCAACGCGACGGCGAGCGCCGGCAACGAGGCGAGCGGCGGTGGCGGCGGCAGCGGCAACGTGCCGCAGTGGAAGCGCGACTTGATACAACGTCGCCGTCAGCAGAGCAAGGTCCTCGCGAACAACGGCGCGAGTGTCAAGTTGTGCAGCGCGGTGATCGGCACGTCGTCGTCGTCGGTAACGCCCGACGGCAGCGGCGGCGTCGTCGCCATCGAGCAGAGTGCAGCGACGACGGAGCATCATGCGGTTCGTGCGGCGCGCTTAACGCCGACGTCGGTCACCAGCGAGGACAGCACGGGGTGCAGCGGGGCGACCGCTGGTGGTAACAGTGGTGCGTTGCTCTCCTCTCCCTCCTCCTATCCCGCGAGAAGGCCGCCGTCCGGTGGCGCCACCACCGCCGGCGGAGCACCAACAACAGCGGTGGCGGCAACGGCCGCGGCGGCGGCGGACTTTGCGTCACCGCTACCAGTCGCGTACAACATGCGTCTCGAGGCGGATTTGTCGCTCTGCTCGGACGCGGAGGATGGCGGCGGCGGCGGCGTCGTGAACGGCAGCACGCCGGCTAAATTCGCGGACGTCACGTCGTCGGAACGGAAATTGCCGGATTACGTACACGGCGAGGAGAGCGAGGACGCGGCCGCGAGGACAACGGCGGACGGCAAACCGGTGCTGAGAGCGGCCGCGAGAACGAGCGAGAGCAACGAGAGCAACGAGCTGTCGCGACAACGCGACGAGATTCGCGCCGTCTTGACCGGAAGACGCGGCATGGAGATGTTCCACGGTGGTAACTTCCGAGTGCTGAGAAGCTCGCGCGTCGCACCACCGAGTCGCACCTCCAGCGAGGAAGCGGAGAGCGACAGCTCCGAGGAGCTGCAGTACGGGCCGGGGATCGTCAACAAGCTCAAGTGCAAGTACCTTAACCTCACTCTACGCGAGACGAACAAGAGCCGCGGGTCGGTGCAGCGGTTCCGGCGCGCGGCCAGCCTCGAGGATCTGTTGGACCGAGACGACGAAGAGTCCAGTCACGAGAAGACCACCGTCGGCAGGAAGTACGCGAAGCGAATCGGCGGTGGTGGTGGTGGCGGCGTCGCCGCCGCCGTCGTCGCCGCCGCCGCCGCCGCCGCTACCACCGCTGCTTCCAAGACCGACAGGTATCGGAACGCCTCTCGGGGCAACGACTCGATGAAGCGGGCGCGCAGCGTCGAGACCTTGATGAGGTACAACAGCGTGACGGTTGACGAGACGGCGGCGACTGTTGCCGCCCGTCCGGTTCTGGTCGCTCGACCGGTGACGAACGGCGTGCGCCAGGAACCGGTCAACGACCACATCATTCTCGTGGACCGTACGTCCGTGAAGATCGAGAGCCGGCTCGGTGAGCTCGATCGACCGAAACCCATCAACAAGCCGAAGAGGATCAAACCGGTGCTGGCGGAAACGGAACGGCCGCCGCCGGATCTAGTCAAGACCACGATGAGGATCTTCGAGAGCTCCGCGAGGAAGCTGAAGCCCAAGGGTGAGGTCGCCGCGAAGGTCGCTACCTTCAAGACCATCAATGACACGTTCAAGGCACAAACGCAGACGCAGAAGAAGCTGGCGCAGAAGCCACCGTTGCAGCCGAAACCTTTCGTCAACGGCGGTGCTCGTGCCGCGGGCGTCGTCGTCGTCGTCGGTTCCCCGACGAAGAAGATCGTGCTGCCGCACAAACCGACCGCGGAACTCATCGAGACGCAGGACGGCAAGGAGGAATACCATATAGACGGCGTCGTCACGGAACCGATCGCGCAATCGGTGTCCTCGGTAGTGAGCAAGTTCCAGCAGATCGAGAAGTCACACTCGCCCTCCCCGTCGCCGGAGCCCTCGGGCTACAAGCTCAAGTTCTCGCCGGCGAACAGCCCGGAACCGCCGCCGCCGTCGCAGACCTCCAGCAGATCCAAGCTCGCTACTCTCGAGATCACCGTCAAGTCACCGCCTGTCACGCCAGTGCTCTCGCCGAGGATCCTGTCGCCCCGACTTCCAAGCTCGCCGTCGCCGGTCAAAGATATCAGACAGGCCACCCAGCTGAGTCCCTCCTCTCCCGTCAAGGACTCGATCCGCATTCAGATCCCGAGTCCGCTTCACAAACCGCCGCTACCGCCGAGTCCCGTCAAAGGGGAATCCGCGAAGACGGAGGCGGAATCCAAAGTCGTTCGTCCGCAAATCGAGACTCCCAGAACGAACGTCGAAAGTCCCAGCAGACAAGCACGTCTGCTTGCGGAATCGTCATCCGGCAATGTGGCGGAATGGAAGGAAGAAGACGCGAAGTCGAGCCGCGTCGCGTTCAACGACGGCGAGAAGAACGTCGACGAGGAGATCGTCGACGGGCCGAGAACCATCTCCAAGATCGCCCTGGACAATATCGGCAAAGCCGGCACGACGATGCAGTTCGACTTCGGCGACAAGTCCACGAACGACAAGAGTCACTTACCGGGCGCGAAGCAGAACGGTCAAAAGTCGACGGACGACGAGCCATTGCCAGAGGAGGATCAGTGCATCAAGACGGAATGTAAGGGCAAGGTGATAGGTGGTGCACCTGCCAGCGTTGTGACCTGCAAAGCATCGCCGAGATTGCAGGAGAGGCTCGAGCCTGAGGAGGACGGCGACGACGTCGAGGAGAAGCTGATCGTACCGGAGAATAAACCCATCGGCGCCATTTGCAGCTTGGGTTTGATCAAAACCGTGATGACAACCATAACGACGACGACGACGACATCACCACCCTCGGCGACGTATTCACAGAGCAACAACGAGGCGAAGACGATAATACGGTGTCAGCAGAAAAGCGAGTTCTCGCCGCCGCAGAAGCAGATCGGCATCATACGGCCGCTCGTCTCGACGAAGGCACAGCATCCGCAGCAGAATCTGAGCAATCGCGAGCTCGAGAAGAATCTGATCAATCGAGTCAAGAGTATCGAACAGCCGACCAAAGTGGTGGTGAGCCTGAAGAGCGCCGACGAGATACAACCTGCGAAGAAGACGAGCCCTGGAGGTGGTGGCGGCGGCGGCGGCGGTGGCGGTGGCGGCGGTCTCTGGGACACGAAACCGTGGAATCAGCAGAACAACACGATGGTATTTAACTTCAGTAATCGAAAGGACGTGCCGGATTACATAGAGAACGACGGCCTCATCATTAGGAGAAAGCGGGATAAGCCGAAGGTGAGTCTGCAATCGCGCTCGTTTTACAATAGAAACGCAAAAAGTACCAGGGACTCATTCAAATGACGACGTCGCAATTATGACAGTAATTGACACCACGTTTACTGCTAAAAGACTTGGGCTTTCTTTGCGGTAAAACGCTTGCGATATTTGTTGAAAATAGAGAAGTATTTAAAATATAAATATTGAGTAAAAAAAAAATCTAAAAGTTATTTATATAAAGTTTTATATCTTTTTGTTTAAAATATAATGTAATATCGGTAGAGCTACATTTATTTTTTTTATTTAATAAATTAATAAATTTTGTCGAATTGATATTTGTGAAAATATCTGTAAACATAAATATCTCGTTAAGGAACAAGATTGTCGTGTGAAAAAATAATAACTACAATATTTATAAATGCGACCTTTATAAACAATATTCATCTTGCAATTAGATATTTATTTTTTGGCATGTTAAAATTATATACTATACGTCATTATTACGTGATATTTACTGATCAATTTAATAATAAAATTTGTCTTAATTTATACATCACAATATTAAATCATAAAGCTGAAAAATATTACAGTCGCGATATAGCATTTTATCTTTTTGTTACTAGAAACGATAATTCCAACTTCGTTAGAAAAACACCTCAAATGAAACAGGTGTTCCCCGTAAAGTTAGTATATAAGCACTATGAGCTAATAAAACATGGGCGTAAACATAATAATTCAGCGTAAAGAGATACTTGTAGATTTTTTGTTCTCATTAACTTCTTGCCTCTACGTGAGAGTGGGTATTCATTAAACCAATTTTTCATTAAATATCACGTCGCGCTACGAGGAAAGATGCAACGATCGATATAGTTCAATGGAAACCTGGTACCGGCAACTTTCTTCTCGCGTGCGTAAAATAATTCGATTATTTTACTTTCTTTTAATTCCCTGCGCCAGATAGAAGTGTCGTTCGACAGAGACGACGTTTACACCTATAACATTTATATCTGTGGAATTTCAATTAACTCGAAATATTTCAAACACGTTTCACTTCGCGCATACTAAGTGTCTTGCACTTTTACCAATCATTGATTTTATGACGATTCTGAATTCTGGAATTCTGTTTTTCTTCAACACGATTGTCAAAGCCAATGTAAGTTTTATTATCAATATAAAATTTTGATTTATAGATATGATAAAATCAGAAGTTCTCCACGAATTAAACTTGAAAAGAACGCAAACGGTTCACGGTACTACACTATTCGTTAACTTTCGAATAAATTGACAAAGCATCTTAATAACTCGAGTCACGAAGATGCTCGTGATTGAGTGTTAGTCGTGAAATAATCGTCTTCGAATTAATCAAGAAATACGTGACTGAAAGGAAACGCGGGAAAATCGCGTGACATCCTGTGTACTCCGTGACTTATTTGTCCTCGATTTTGCGTCTCGCTTGCACTCACTCACGCCACGCATACCGCTGATGAACTTACGAGGATCCTCGTTAAACCGTTGTATCGACACGTGTAACGGTTGTCGCGTGTCCTAAACCGAACATTGGCCGCCGCGCTCGGACTGATTTAATTGTTGCCGTTGAAACACACTTGTCAATCAAGTCAATCCGCTAGCGGACGATATTATTCGATCTGTCACGGTAGTTGTGTCCGAAGCGAGATAAACAATCTTCTTATTTTATATGCTGCTTACTCGTAAGCCGATGAAACATGAGCAGCAGTTTACGAAACGGAATCTGTTTATTTACATTTCGCTGTATCACTCGGCAATGATTGGGAAAGCAACATCATTACACGCAGATTACAATAATTCAATATTTATTCATGTCACGTGAAAATTATCTACATTTACCAATTTATTATTCATACTATACTATTATATTTTTTTTAAGATTTCAAGATAAATTAGATTGAAAGATAAAATTTTGGAAATTATATATTCTACATTATTTTTTTTACATAATTTTATGATTATCGTGTTTTTTTAATTTTCTATGTTTTTACAAGATGATATACGAAGAGATAAATAAAAGTTTTTGATTTTATTTATACAGAATTATTATGAAATTAATATATTGATCTTAATGTACACGACGACAATCAACTTTATGTCATTCTTCAAATAGGAGACACAAACTCGAATGCGTAAGATCGGATGATTGGATTATTCTCGCCTTGAATAACCGCAGTGCTAAGTGCGGAATTAGGAGGTGTATTTATTATTGTGCAGGTTGCACAAAGTAAAACGTTCCGAAACCGCTTTCTAAAGCGTTCGACGGTAGAGTTTGCCTCGCTCGAGCGCCACATACTCATTTCCAGGCTTCTCGTAAAACGCATCATCGCGCGTCCTCGCGGTGAAGCGAAGTGAAACCGAAGACGTCCGACATTCAGCAGAAAATGGGAGAAATTAGGCACACGATTCGCGCGATTCGTCCGAGGGACGATACTTACTTTCTCGTATTAGATAATCCGGAAGTGGGAATCAGCGTCGGGCAGAATGGCGATTATTCCTGACGATAATCGTGGATTCCAATGTTTAATTTGCCGTTTTTAATACGTGTCTGGAACGAGATTGTTACGTGCTCAACCATTGTGTCTCACGCAAACCTAATACATCCGCGATACGATATATTTCATTATATACCGATTAATAGCGATTAATCAGAATGTATTGTTTTCCGCCATACCGGGAAGTTTACACGCTGACAGGAATATTTTGATACGTATAACGTTATTTTTTTAATAGGAACTCTAATAAAAACTTGTTTACCCCTTCATTTAACAATTGTGTCGTTCTAATCAAATTTTGATTAGAACACAATTTTTAAATGAAAAAAATAAGGAAGCTCTTGTTAGATGACATCTCAGCAAAATAAATGGTTATGTATGTACCAAACATTTCAGTGTGAAATGTCGCGTTCAGTAATACGATAACAAAATTAAATCTTTCTTTTTTTACAGATGAACACGTTGTCGAATACATTTGTCGAAAATAATTTTTCAATAAAGCTGTAATTTTGCTTGTCACTTGTTGATTCTTTGCTTTGTCTTTAATTATAAAAATATATCTTTTTATTGATACATTATACACATTAGCATTTTAATTTTCGCTTGAATCGTGTGTAGCAAAGCTAGTCCTAATTTTTTCTTTGAAATATATTTGTTATTTTATTCTTTTCATTTAACTGGAAGGTAACTCTCTCTTGAATTTTATTTAAAATTTAGATCTATTCCGTTTATCGATAATGAAATAAGTACTGCAGTATTGTCTATTTGTATTTTAATTTATATTTGATAAAGTATTCTAGATAACTTGTTTAATCAAATATAGATAGCAAGATGTGCATGATATAGTTATACAGGAAATCTGACGGCACTTTCTCTTAATTACTGATACTACGTGGAAAGAATTTTTCTGAAGTATCTAAAAATTTAGCTCTAGATCTAAAAATAATTTTATTGGATCATTAAAATAATTACGTAGGAAACTCCTCCGAGGGAAATTCAAATATATGATCAATGCTACAAAAAGTTTTGATATTCTGACAAATGGCTTAGTTTTGTTGTTTCCAACAAAATTATCTTGAGATTTGTATCTAGTTTTAGATACTTCAGCAAAAGTTCTTTCAGTATAGAGATTAAATTAAAAATTATTTATTTTCGTTTTAGATTATTAAGTGGAAATTGAAAAGTTTTGACCAATTAAGAGCTGTTAAAAATTTGCAAAGAAAAGCCGAAATATATGGTACAATAAAGATGGAAGTAATTCCATTCTTCAAAATAAATCGAAATAATAATAAATATATTTTCTTTAATATAAATTGCTTTTCTATGAGTTTGTATTTAAAAAGACGACTTTGTGAAAAACCAATCGAGTACACTTGTATATACTTGCGAGCGAAATTCTATCTTATTGAAAAACTTACGGTTAACATCAATAAATACGCATACAATAACATAACTCGTGGTAGTAAACAAACGGACATTGTGTGTAAAACAAGACACAATACGACCTGTAACTCATAGTAAATTTGTTATTTATTTGGAAACATTATACTCTGCTTTTTTTTTTTACATTCAGCTTACAATACATATATAAATTTTGAGTGATAGGATTACATAAAAATATAGTTATAGCAGAAGCACAGGCTTTATTATTTTAACAATGCTAAACGTGATTGTGGCAAGTTAAAACCATGGCTATATTCTGCCGGATACGGATTCGCATTATTTAGTATTCATTTATGAAATGATATCTCTGCCTTATCTAATAGGCGTGCAATGATATCCTTGTGAACAATATTGCGGACAAAGGAAAATGTACACAAAGTGCGGTCGCCGGCTTAGCCAGAAGCCACGGGTGCTTCCTCGTGCCGTGAATTGCGCATAATTTTCATATTTTATTCACGAAATTGCTTCTGCTCTATCTAATCGATCTAACGGTGCATTTGCAAATGTTGGAAAAGAACAAGTATCGCCACCCACGAATCGGACGGTGAATAAAAAGCTATCGCTTAACGAACTGGAAACTGGAACGCACACGTCAAGGTGGCGTAATCTCTTTCATCAAGTTCCAACGAAGTTTCCTGTGGAGGATCGCGAAGAATGCGCGTTGTTTGTACGGCGTTCGGTGTCAAGCGCGTAAAAAAATGTTTTAAGCTTTTATTGTCAACGGCTGATAAAACCGATGCATGATACATAAAATACGACGCATATTAAAATTGACTGATAATGTTATCGCTTTTTATTAAATGACACCTTTAAAGACTACAGTTTTATCATTTTCATAATGTAATAGATTATGTAATAGATAAGCTTACCACTTGTAGAGAAAATTTATAGTCGTGTCTGCGTCTAAAGTTTGATGAGTAAGAAGGAAGTCGCTTGATCGACTTTAAAAATTGCACGAGTACGAAGCAAGCTTTAAGCTTTTAACACATTCTTGTTATAAAGAGATCTTGTTATAAATTACACAATGGATAAAAAGGAAAAGCTTATTTTTGA